ACTACGTCCAAAAATAAATTTAATAATTAAAGATTGTGTCCAATAAAAAAAATTATTTCAAATCTGACAAAATTAGTTATTTTGATCTAAAAACTAAATTACTGAATCGTTTTTGATAAAATTTCTATGTTACCAATCTATAAGAATATCCTTTCAGAAAAAAAAAAGAATTACCTAAATCGGTTTAGTACTGACGGAATTATCACTACATAGTAAAAAACAAAGTCACTGTCGCTGTCTGTCCGTCCCTATGTATGCCTAAATCTTTAAAACTACGCAACGGTATTTGAAGTGTTTTTTTTTTTTTAATAGATCGAGTGATTCAAGAGGAAAGTTTACATGTATAATACATGCATAATATAGTAGAGAAACACTGATTATTTTAGAATTTTCTAATTTGATGTGATGTAATGTGCACCCGTACGAAGCCGGGGCGGGTCGCTAGTGAGGTAATAAACATAAAAAAAATACAACCGAATCGAGAAACTCCCTCTTTTTGAAGTCGGTCGAGAATGCACAAAACGTGAATTTAAAAATTAAAGATTTGTTGAGCTGTTAAGATGCCTAGGATGGTAAAAATTATCTTAACTTTATAATGTAAGTATGTACCAGAGGGAGACTTTGTACAAAAGTCGTTTGCTTGGACTCCTCTGTCACATTCGTGTTTCTACCGTGTTCGTACAGTTGTGTCTGCATGGCTGTGTTTCGGTTTGAAGGGTGGGATATGGCAGTTAATTTACAAGGCACAGAGATATAACACCTGAGTCCTCAGGAATGACAACACATGGGGGGTATCATGTGCGTAAGAGTATACTCTGTTATGTCCATGGCACTGCTCATGTCTATAGGTGACGTTACCACTTTCCATCAGCTTGTTTGCCATTATAAGTTGCATAAAAAATGTGCATATATGTATTTCAATAAAGAGTAAAGACCGGCATAATATTTTTGGATTCTTACAGGTATTGTAAACTAAAACTAGTTGTTGCCTGCGGCTTTGCACGCGTGGTATCATGTTTCCCCTTTAATTTGTTTTCTAAGTTCTTTCTTAGCGGATATTTACTTTATATAATAATTCTATGTTTTAAATTTCTGCATTCTAGACTTAGTAGTTTCACTTGTGTGTTGATAGTCGGGACAAATCAAGAGTATAAATATGTAAATGAAAGTAGTTCATTGCATTACTTGAAATGAATATAAGTGATGTGAAATACTCTGTTATGTGCATGTCTATAGGCGACGGTTACCACTTTCCATCAGGTGGGCCGTCAGCTTGTTTGCCATTCTAAGTTGTATAAAAAAAATTTGAACATTTATTAACAGCCACTATTTAACTGTAATAATGTTGGGTTAAGTTATAGAAATAAATTCTTTAATCGCGATTTTAGTTCCAAGAGTTTGTTTCGGAATTCTATTTAATTTTTTCTTTTTCATTTTAAACTAGTTTGGCGATAAGCTTAAATTATTGTAAACAAACCACCTCTTGTCATTGACGCCAAGAATGTACGTAAAATAATGAAATAGGAGACCCACTTAAGTGTCAATTGAAGAGGGACTTTTTTGGTCCATGTTTATAAACAAGTGCTGTATTAAAAAAATGTATTGGAACATAAGCCATTTTATTTTTATTTTATCAAGTATATAATATTGTACAAAAATATATAATTTTACATCCAACAAGGTCTTAGTTTTTTAATAATTGAAAAATAAAAGGTAAGTTATAGGTGACCCCATTTTATTTCTCATAGAACAGTTGCAATGCAATTCAAGTCGAGTGTAGTGTAAGAAATTACATAAAGAAATCTAGTTGGAATATAAACCTAATCTGAATTTTGTATAACTCCAATTAGATTACGGGAAAATCAGGTTTTTTAAACCTACACATTAAAAATACCTAGTCTGTGTAAAGTCCGCTCACGGGACGCCACAGATATGGATTTTCCACTATTTTGCTTGGCAGAGTTGAAGGGCTATATATCGAAAAATTTTCAACAAATCCTGTAATGTAAAATGCAATAAAGTGTTCAAATAAATAAATAAATACATATGTTGGTGAAGAAGAACTTGCAAAGACAACGCCGTCTTCTTACTCTTGTCCTTTTTTTAGGTAATCAAGTTTTATCGTCATCATATCAGCTGTTATCTGAACATGTGTAGAATACATGTAAATTTCTGACATTGTTAATAATTTGCACGCCGACATAGAGGCAGAATGTATATGGTATATGTAAACCTCTTTCGTCGAAAACTACCTACATTCTAGCATAACAAATTCATTTCATTTCATTTCATGGACCTCGCCTATAGACTGCCATAAGGAACTGCCCATTTTTTATGGCGGTTTACCATTGAGGGGACATTGCCGGTAGTTGCGACGCTTGGCTGGTGGACTGGCAACCGTAGTTTGATTTTTGGTGATTTTTTAATAGGAACGTTGCTGCCTATCTGTCGACAATTCAGTTCCCTTAGTCGCCTCTTACGACACACGTAGGATGGGAATGGGTGGTCCATTCTATGGCGGGACCATACGAAAACAGCTTACATTTATTTATGAATTATTGAAGTTTTACATAGATTTTAAAGCCAATATTAATTTAAGCCGTCAGTACGTATACGCACTGTAGACAAAGTTATGTTTGGATTATTTAAGTACTTATAAACTTTTTTTTTGTTTTACAAAGTTAAAGTTTTTAAAGTTACTTGTTATCCAAATGACTAATCTATGTATGTTATGTATGTATGTTAAATTTGTTATCTTTGCAACATTTTATTACATTATCGTCCATTAAAAAAAACAGTCAAACGCCCACCTCACCACGGTCGTCTAAGTCACCATATATATACATATAATATATATATATATATATATATATATATATATATATATATATATATATATATATACATACATATATATGCATACACCCACTCTAACTTGCCTACCTCGCTATGGAATCAAAATTTTTGTTTGTATAAGTAAAATCCGTTATTGGCTGTATTCATAAGAGACTTAGCATGTAAGTTATTTTTTAAGAGCTGTGGATTTTTGTATAAAATAAAATAAAAAAATAAATAAATATAATATATATAATATATATATATATATATATATATATATATATATATATATATATATATATATATATATATATATATATATATATATATATTTACTTTTCATTTTGTCATCTATTAATACCAATTAGGGAATCGAAATATTATGGATCAGCGCGACATATATTACCTATATTTTCATATTACTGTGGTAACAAAAAAGCATACGGCTTGTCCGATAAAAAGTAAAGGGTTATCGTAGCCTGTAAGCGTAAGCAATACACGGACAGTCACGTGCGACTTGCTGACCCTTGGAAAACTTTATTACGCTATGTTTGAAAAATCCCATGCCGCAGCCTCTAGGGAAGACTTCAGCATTTGCAGTCATTATTCACTTGCTTTCTAGTCATACCATTTTTCATGCACTCCTTACATCTCTTTTGAAATCTCTTCTTATACTTACAATCATTTGTATTCGTTTGCACTAATATTATCAGGGGGAAAGCTTTTATTTTTTGTTTACAATGGATAAACTGAAAAACTATTTAATTTGTAAAAAAAAATCCTATATATAAAGCTACTAATTACTAGAGGGAGACTTTGTACAAAATTCGTTTGCTTGGGCACCTCTGTCCTATTCGTGTTTCAACCGTGAAGCAGTTGTGTTTGCATGGCTGTGTTTCGGTTTGAAGAGTGGGATATGGTAGTGAATTTACAAAGTACAGAGGAATAACACCTTAGTCCTCAGGAGTGGCAACGCATGGAGTATATTATGGGTGAAACAGTATACTCTGTTATGTCCATGGTACTGTTCATGTCTATAGGCGACGGTTACTGTTTTCCATCAGGTGGACCGTCAGCTTGATTGCCATTTTAAGTTGCATAAAAAAAGGGCTTAGGAAAGCTTTTATTTTTTGTTTGTAATGGATAACCTCCAAAAATACTTAACCGAGGTTTTCCCAAGAGACTACAGCATGGGGTTCTTTAAAAGGGGAGTAAAGAGGTTTCTTCAGGGTCGGCAACGCGCGCGTAGTACCCCTGTTATTGCAAGCGTTCAAAGGCTACGATAACCGCTTACCATCAGGTAGGCCGTATGCTTGTTTGCCACCTCAGTGGTATAAAAAAAACATTTAACCGAAGTTAATAATTCTTTCACTTATATACATCTACATTAGCTGTAAGGGTGTGTATTTGATTTTTGAAAAACGTTTAGACCTTTTTATACCGTCTCGTGCGAAGATAAGATGCTATCGCTAGTATTTGATACTTTTTAACCGATTTCAAAAAGAAGCAGGCTCTCAATTCGGTTGTATTTTTTTATACATCTTAGAATGGCAAACAAGCTGACGGTCCACCTGATGGAAAGTGGTAACCGTCGCCCATAGACATGAGCAGTACCATGGACATAACAGAGTATACTGTTTCGCTTATTTTGTGTTCCTAACTCTAATATCTATACCTCATAACTCCATCAATTGTGGACCGATTTGGAAAATCCTTGTCTTTTATTTGAAAGGATATACTGACAGACATAGACTTCCTATAATATATTCAACAAGGAGAAATGAATATAACTATTTTGACTTCAGTTGTCACAAAAACAGTTACTATGATTTAAAATTTGAACTAATGAACCGATATTGATAATATTTCTATCAAACTAAACCGTAAGTATATCCTTTTAGAAAAAAAAAAGAATTTCCTAAATCCGTTTAGAACTGAAAGTGTTATGAGGTAAGAAACATTAAAAAATAATACAATCGAGTCGTGAATCTCTGTTTTGATGGCGGTTCAAAATATACTGGCCAGTCTGTACGGCGTGAATATACAGGATTTTTTTTTAATAAATATATTAACAAGCTATTTGTGGGAACTCGTGAATTTCTTTGCGTGACTGTAGCTCGAATATACTGTGTACATAGCCTTGCCTCCAGTTCGCTGTTCGCATCGAGAGGGGATGGTCGCGCGCGCCCTTCTCCCCCATCGCGAGTCTCTGCACTTGTGTTCGATTTTCAAAACTCGTTCCGTTGTGTGTGAGTTGAAAAAAAGTTACGTTCCATATTTAAAAGTGTACAATACACTTTGTGGTGTATTGAAATACTCATGTGCTTCTCATTTATGTGTGTGTTATTGTAAGTGTTGATTACATTTAAAGTGGTGTGCATTTGACAAGTTCAAAGCAAATATTTGTGTATGTAATTAAAAGGAGTTATACTAAAGGTGAGTGATGTGTTTATATAGATTAAATAATGATTCTGTTGTACACAATAAATAGTGAAGTAATACGTAACTTTGTTACTGCAAAATTATAATGGTGTAAATACAAAGTAATAGTTTAGTGTGAGTAGCGATTAGTAGCATTACCTTAATTGTTGTTTCAGTGTTGTGCCTAGGGAAATATTTGTTTTAAACTACTTCAAAGAGTAGTGGGTTCCTGATACTATTTTTGTAATTGTAATAATTTGTTCACGCGATATTATATATCGTTGTGAACAGATTTCGATGATTATTTTTAAATTGTTTATTCTGGATATTAAGATGGACAATGGATTGCTTACGTGGAAAATTTGTAGAGTAGATAGACAGGGCAATCGTAAAAAGTATGACCAAGCAGAATCTCAGTTACAATCTACGTGATATTTATAACTTTTATAAAAGAACCAAAGATCAAATATTAAATTTATTATTTTTTATAATAGTGTTTTGTGTTGATTTTTTTTTTTATATAAAAAGAAACAAATAGACAAACAGACCTTGTACGTACATTTTTGTCAAATAATTTCAAAGTAATAATGATACTAAAGATTCTGGAATGTAGTCTTGTCTATTGAAAGTATGAATTTAATTTAAGTAACTTTATTTTTTTATTAAATTTTATACCCCCTGCAAAAAAAATATGAAATAAATCGTACATAAGACTGTTAAAAATCTACTTCAAATCTGAGACAGAATAAAAAATCTATTTCAATTTGGAAAAAAAAAACAGTTATTTTCATTTAAAAACTAAATATACTGAATTTATTTAGATAACATTTCTATAGGAGCAATGTGAGTATATCCATTCAGACAAAAACAAAATTTCCAAATCGTTCCACGACTGACGGAGTTATGTAGTAACAAACATAAAAAAAATAAGTACCAAATTTTCTTCTTTTCAAAACCGTTTGAAAATGGTAAAAATTCACTAATTATAAATAACTATAAATAATCAAAATATTCACTAATTATAAATAAAATAATTATAAATATTCTATAATTCCTTCTATCTAAATGTTGTTTGGAAAAGATTGTTTAGCAATAAGACAGTCTTTTGTACTACACTATGCTTATTGAAAATCCTTAGACAAGTCTTGTAACGTTGCTACAATAAAATATTAAATAAATAAATAAATACTAAAATACTATCTATAAGAAATTATGAAAAAGAAAAGTGGTACTATCTTATATATAAAATTCTCATGTCACGATGTTTGTTACAAAACTCCTCCGAAACGGCTTTACCGATTTTTATGAAATTTTGTGTGCATATTGGGTAGGTCTGAGAATCGGCCAACATCTATTTTTCATACCCCTCAATGATAAGGGTGACCCTCCCTAAAAAATTTTTTTTTAATTTTTTTAACAAATTTTTCCTTTTTTATTTTATTATGATTTAGCATTGAAAAATACACACAACTTTAAATTTTCACCGTTTTACGATCGATCCCTGCATTTTAATCGCGATTTTTATATTACGCAATAAGTGGTAAATCAACGTTTACGGGGTCAGCTAGTATTTTAATAAATAACTATTTATTTACGTGACTAATAAAGAAAAAAAGAAAGAAAGAAAGCAATAATTTTCTTGAACTAAACATAGATTTAAGCATTTTTGAACAGTCATTATTTTTCATCATCGCCGATTCGAAACGCAATTTTAGCCAAGAAGAACGGGCAAGAATCTCAGCTATTGCTTTTTTCACAACGTTTAATTTTAAAAATAATGAATTTGTGTGAATTCAAACTGCTAAGCAGTAACAGATCATTATCAGATCATAGTTATAAGTTTTTCCTTGTTGTTTTTTTTTTAATCAACTTAGAATGGCAAACAAGCTTGTTTGCCATTCTAAGTTAGCCCACCTGATGGAAAGTGGTAACCGTCGCCTATAGACATGAGCGGTACCATGGACATAACAGAGTATACTGTTTCGCCCATGATACCCCCCCATGCGTTGCCCACCCTTCAAACCGAAACACAGGCATGCAAACACAACTGCTTTACGGTTGAAACACGAATGGGGTTGAGGTACCCAAGCAAACGACTTTTGTACAAAGTCTCCCTCTGGTAGATATGTATTGATAACTGAGATAAAAAGTAGCCTACTGTGTGTTCTATGGGGGAAGAGATTGTTAGTATTGGAGATCTAAAAGCCCCATTGCTAGTAATATACCCTATCAGGTTGACCTCCACGCGGTTTTCCCTGGAAATCATCTATGCAAAATCGTCATTATGGGCCAACTGGCCTGTTCCATTCTCATCTATCATCTTTCCCTGGTGCCCCGCTAGTATATACTGATAGTGCAGCTGGGGTTATTATTCCATTCTCATCCATGAAAAAAACTCGTAACTAACTTAACTGCTCAGGGGGAAAGGGATTGTTGGTAATGGAGACTGAGAATCCCATTGCTAGCAATATACCCAACCAGGTCGACCTCCTCGCTGTTCTCCCTGGAAACTATAATGGTTAATTCCTGATGAATTCATCATGATGGGCTAACTGGCCTGTTTTCATTCTCATCTATCACCCTTCACTGGTGCTCCGCCAGCATATCCCGTTAGCGCAGGCGGGGTTACCATACCATTTTCACCCATCAAAAAAAAACTTAACTGCTCAATTAGTCTTTATGAAATTTAGTATATATAAGAAACCAAAAAGCAATAAATTGACATTTATAATATGCACATATTAGTAAGGATTATTGTTCTCATTCGACGATGTACAGACACACCGTCAAGTTGCAATATTTTTATATTAGTAAAATACTATTGAAATCGAACTTCTTCCTTCTTAAAGTCGGTTGTAAACAAATCGCGTCGTTACGCGATCGGTTTCATATGAAAGCCTATTGTTTTCATATTTTGAATATATTCCTGGGGGAAACTTGTTTGGATTCCTTCCTCTGTATTATGCAGGGTCGGCCCTTTTAGGACTCTGTATATCTTATTTTTATGGGATTTCAAACAGTGGGAGGTTCTCATTTTCGCCTGTATTTTTGTGTATTGTGTATGTGTCTATCTCTCAGTGAACGTACGTGGGCGTGCGTGCGTGCGTGTGTATTTATGTGTGTAAGAGAGAGTGTATGTGTGCGTGCTTGTGTGTGTGTGTTTGTAAGTGCATGACCGATTTTTATACTTGTGCCTTCAATAAGATTTCTTTTATGAAATTTAGAATGGCAAACAAGCTAATAATTAGAAAGTGGTAACCGTCACCTATAGACATGAACAGTATCGTAGACATTACACTGAGATGCCTATGGTGCCCTTCATTCGTTACTAATTATAAGGACCCTAGTGTTAGGCTTCCGTATATCCTGTAATTTCACTGCCATGTGCCATGCCCTTCAAACTGAAACAACTATACAATCATAGTTCTTTGAAAGCAATAACATGGGGACAGAGGTACCCAAGCAGAAGATTTTTATACAAAGCCTTCCTCTGATAAATTGTTGATTGACGTAACACCTGTATGGGGTTGTAAATCTTGGGTTTATATAAATATATAACAATAAACCACGTGGAAAAATTGAGAGAGGTTGTTTTTCTGAGGTAGAGTCTATTGCTTAATAAAATTTTTATGTAATGACGAAATGGGATCAAATATTTTATATTGTTCTTTTTTGATAGACAGAATGGATAAAACTCATTGTTCCTTACGATTTTGTACTTTCTACGCGTGGATTTTATAGAATAGTATAGAATTTTATTGCTAACAGTAAATACAGCAGTAATGTAGATAGAAACTCAGTGAAATATATACTATTTCTAGACGACGTATTGAGGTAAAACATACCAAATTTTAAGTTAGACCTCCAAAAATATAACTGTGAAAACTGCATCCAATTTGGTGCAGTAGTTTTTGCGTAATTTTTTTTTATATTTTTAATGGCTGATAATGGAATGGTAACCCCACTTGCGCTATCGGGATACGCTAACGGGTACCAGTGAAGTGTAAGGATGTTGTAGGTGAGGATGAAAAGGCAGGTTAGGCAGTTACTCCATCGTGATGAATTCTACTAGAATTAATCAAGATTGTTTCCAGGGGGAACCGCGTGGAGGTCGACCTGGTAGGGTGTATTGCTCCCAATGTGGCAGTCATTACGTGTACTAACAATCCCTTACTCCCCCTTGCGTGATGTTATAACAAACATATAGACAGATAAACGTGTAATAGGATATATTATGCATCTTTAAATACTAAACCAGCTAGGAATTACGGCCACCTGTGAATTATGAACAGTACTACGGGCGTCACAGTATACACTGTGCCGCACATGGCGCCATTCCTGAGCGGTGAGGTGTTATTTCACTTGGCAAAAGTTCTCAATTGGCGTTGTCAAACTGTAAAACAGCAATGTTAACTTTTTATGAGAATCCTTGACTTTGTTTATGGATTCCACGCAAATTGGTGTAAAGTATTACGCAAGTTTCAAACGGAATAGCTATTAATGGCGTCGTTTAGTTCAAAAAGTTTTTGAAAAATCACTTTTGAAGTACTTGTCTTCAACTCATCCTTCCAATATTAGTTAACCATCAGTTACGGTTTACTGCCGAGGCTTGAGATCGAATTTGGAAAAACAATTTTTTTATATTTCGTAAAGGTAATTATTTTTTACTAGTATTCTATTATATATATGTATGTATGTATTTACATGTATGTGTTTATGTATATATACAAAATAATAATGAGTAGGGATGTATATTTACATTATTACATGTATCACATCTCCATATTTAGAAATAATAGAATTTTCATCGTGCCTCCGATCAAACTGTTTATAATTACTCCTCTCCATCCAAAGGTTGCCTGGAAGAGATCGCTCTTAGCGATAAGGTCGCCCATTGTTTTCTCATTGTGATTATTTCTTGTAATTGTTTATATTTACAATAAGTTTACTATTGTAATCTTTTGGAGGAAACAATAAAGAGTATCTATCTATCTATCTAGTTACTCGCCCCGATT